CGTGTAGACATTCAAAACCTCTGGATAACTACAAAAAAGAACACTAGGATAAAAAAATAGGTCAGGGAAAACCTACACATTAAATGTCAGGAGGCCCTATTGCATAGCAATCAATAACCTAGCTTTTGGAGTCAGATGTTGTGATTCACAGCTCTACCACCTACCAGCTGTGTGATCTCAGGCGAGATACTTAGCTTCTATAAGCCAAGTTTAATTTTCTGAAAAATAATGTTTCCTAATTAATATGAGGATTAAATGAGATAGTGTATATTACAAAGTATGTGGTATGCAAGCACTGAAATAGAACTAGGATTATTACAAGTCATTCAGGTTCAGTCAAATTTGTAAGAGACTCAAGATTCCAAAAGCAAAAGAAGCAAAGTATGTAAATGTTGTTTCAGCTTGGAACCTGCCTCTTCCCCACACATGCATAAAAAATATCCATGCCAAATGCTCTGCTCTCCATGAAGTCATTCTTGCATTCACACCTGACCCAACTAGAAATGACTTCCTCCCTTGATCTCTATGACCTTTTAAAACAGAGATTACTTCCTTGCTTCAGCATTTCTCATGCACTAAAGGCACTTGTATTTTTGTCTTATCTTCCCAACTAAACTATAAGCTTTGTGAGGATAGCTACTATTTATAATCATACTTTTAATCCCGAAAAGATCCTAAAACACAATAGACATTGAAGAAAATTGTATTGAATTGAATTGAAATGTAGATATATTTAAATTACTTTTCACTCCTATTTTCTGTAGTATTTGCCTTTTGTATCATAGTGAAATTCTTGAATAGAACATGTGCTATGTGTATTGCATGTCTGTGCTGAAATCATAGTGAGAAAAGCTATATGAATTTTAGAATGGCCGTCTTGTCTCTAGATAGTACATTCATTCTGGAAACAGCTCAATATGAATACCAATTTTAAAATCCACTTTGAATCCAACTCTATGTCATTCTGACTGATGATCTTTTGGGTGCTGAGTCTTAAAATGATTTTAGATACATTAACGTAAACAGGTTAGGAGTTAATCAGTGAAACCGAAGTATTATTGTTATATGTAACATCTGCGTTTAGATAAATTCAAATGTGTATATTATTACTTTCTTTTCATAGAGGAATTTTACTATACTGACCCTTGTCACTGGTATGAAGTCAGTTTTACATAGTATGTAAAGATGCAGAGCATACAAAATATGGCACTCAGGACAAATCTTTGCTAGCTATCACTGTAACATTATCTATTCTGTATATAAGGTACTGTAATAATTGACACCCATACTACTTTTGTTTAGAACTGTTGAAGGGTGATGTTTTCTTTCTATAACTTTTTTCCTTTTTTTCCATTTTATTTAAATTTTAAATTCATAGGTACAAAAGTGTTTAAATTTTGATTAAAATTATTATATGCTAATATTTTTAAAGAAAAGAAAAAGAAAGGGGTGCATTCAGTTTCAATCCCAGCTATTGTTTGGACTGTCATGTCACATGAACAGTGACATTTTATCTGAGGATATGAAGATAGCATTGGATCTTATGGATTGGATATTCTGAACATCAGATCTGATGTGTCTGCTTTTCAATATATGTGAAATAAAACTTAGAAGTCATTCACAATTATATCCTGACATGCTCTTCTCAAACACTGGAATGTAATATGGATTTAAATTCTGTCTTAATATTTTCCTCCTTATTTTATTTAATTTTATGTATTATATGTTAAAAATGTTGAAGGAAGTATTAAAAATGGATAGGCTGACTGGTGGGTTGGTGGTGGAGTCCTTAGGGGTATGTCAGTCAGGGAAACAGTAAGAAGTTGACATTTGACCAAAAGTCAATATGGAGCAGCAATAATTAACTATTTATTGAGATGACCTTATAGAATATTTGCTCCTTGCTTCATTCACATTCTCTTTTTTAAAGGGCTGTCAAAGTTAATTCTTCTGTGAGATTACAGTACAGGCATTTTAAAAGGCTTTTCTTAAGATCACAGTTTAGTTGATAATTGTGAGTATAACCAACTTTATTTTAAGTAGTTTGAAAAAGATTAAAGTGACAATATAAAAGAATTAATACTTTCTGTTTTCAAAATATGTCCTGCTATCTTAATTAATATTTGAAATATCCCAAACCAAATAAAACACCACCATAGTAAAATCAGTAAAAAACAGCTTAGGTTTCGGTAGCTTTCCATTTGGTGTCTAGTCTCCAACTGAACAAATTGGGATTGACTTGAATGATAACGGTATAGGAAGTATGTCCTTTGGCTGTGTTGGGTCTTCTTTGGTGCACATGGGCTTTCTCTAGTTGCGGCAAGCAGGGGCCACTCTTCGTTGCAGTGCGTGGGCTTCTCATTGCGGTGGCTTCTCTTGTTGTGGAACACGGGCTTTAGGCACACGGGCCTCAGTAGTTGTGGCTCGCAGGCTCTAGAGTGCAGGCTCAGTAGTTGTGGCACACAGGCCTCAATAGTTGTGGCTTGCAGGCTCTAGAGTGCAGGCTCAGTAGTTGTGGCACACGGGCTTAGTTGCTCCACGGCATGTGGGATCTTCCCGGACCAGGGCTCGAACCCGTGTCCGCTGCATTGGCAGGCAGAACCACCAAAGGTTCGCTCAGCGCAACTAGGGAAAGCCCGCGCACAGCAACGAAGGCACAACACAGCCATAAGCAAACAAACTTATTAAAAAAGAGCAGATTCTTAACCACTGCACCACCAGGGAAGTCCCTGGTAAAACAGCCTTGTATCTGGTGCTAGGGAAAACAGAAGCCCCAGCTCTGTGGGAGGGGGAGAGAAAGGTATTTTCACAGAAGTCATGCCATTTTAGTGTAATCTTTAAAAGTAGTAAGAGTTTTCCAGGAGAATCCATGGGGCAGGCACTGCAGGCAGAGGGAACAATATATGTACAGGTGCGTGCCAGTGCATTTAAAAACCTGAAAATTGTCTTCACCCTTGAGTTGCTTAGAAGCCACTTATTCATTTCAGTGGCCGCCGAGAGTAAAGGACAAACAAGATTCCAGGTTGTGTAATTAGTTAACATTTGTTGAACATTATCATACTGGTTGCTAAACTGAATCTTGTTAGGCCCTTCCTCTACCCAGTGAGTACCGTCTAATTAAGAGGGCAACCAAGGCAGGGATGAAAACAACATCAAATCAATCAGCAGCTGTCTTTAAAGGGCCCCACGGCTGTCTGTATAGAGATTTATAGATTAACTGCAGCACTTTGAATTGCAGTGGGAAGAAAATTGGCAGCAGCTGCAAACTTCACAGTGTGGCTTTATTTTGCTTCAGGCAGCTGAACCCAGAAGTAGGTGGGCTGCCCATTCTGGTCCCTCCAGTATTTAATAGTGTCTAAGGGTATCCGCAATTAGGACACCCATGTGTAATCCAGCCATTTCCTAAGCTATCATCAATATGCATGAATTTATTAAAAACTCTGAAATATTCTGATTCTAGATAATAAAGGTGGAATTTTATACAATTTGGGGAAATTCAGCCAGGAATTTGGAGAATATCTATTTGTGTAATTCTAAAACCTTAGTGATTAAAATCTGTCTGAAAGGTTATTGGGAATAATCTTTATAGATTTTATTATAGGCCTATAGCTAAAACTGTCATAACTTTGTGCTTGTGTAACATAGGACATAGAATCATGAAATGTTAATCTTTATTTTTTAAAAATAAAACAGAGCATTCTATTTTAGTATTAGAGTTAAAATAAATGATTTTAGTCTAATCTCAACTACATATGTCAAAGGCAGTTTTTTCCCAAAAGTACAGATACAGTACTATATTATGTTGTCTAGAATAATATATATGTAGATACATATTGTTTGGAATGCAAAAAATTCTAAAGTGAAAAAGCAATATTTCCTTTTGCTTTGATTATTTATATCATAGTGAATTAATGGCTCGATCAATGTAAGTGTATTAAAATATATATTTAATTTTAGACCTAAATACTATTTATGTAAGAGACTGGGTAATAAGTAGTGAGGCTGTAGGGATTTTAGATGGCTGAACTAACTTGTATGCATTTTCTCACTTGTATTTCATTTCCTGCTCATCTTGATTTCGATGTTAGATCTGTTTTCTTTCTGATATTTACTGTATTTATTCCTCACACTTACATTTTTGCTAATACTGAGCTAGCATTCTGAAGTTGCCTAATATTTCCATGAACTTGGGCAGGCTACTGAAGCACTCTCAGCCACCACTGACTCATCTTTAAAATGGTGATAATGACATTGGTTCTGCCTCTCTCACAGCGGGGCTGTGAGAATCAAATGATTCAGTACTTTTGCAAGTGTCAAGTTACACACAGTTAAAGGAGGTATATTGATTGTATATCTCAGAGTTTGCATTTGCACATATTATAAAGGGAAGTTTTAGTCTTATTTAATAAAAGTGTGGTACTTCCTTTGGAGAAAGAGGGAACTTACTAAGAAACTCAGATATTCCCCCAGCAGTTTGCACGTGTATCTTTATCGCTGCAAGTGTGGATGTAGATGTTAACTGCATCTAATTCCACAGGGCTTCAAGTCCATTATCCTGCAGGTCAGGATTCCTGGAGCAATACAGTTACACATCCTTTCCTATCACCCTTTCCATGCTACAGGAAAAAGTTAGGTAGCAGACTTATATCATGAGATAGTTCCCCAAATATTCACCGCTGAGACTGTAAACAGCTGGCTCTGGGATCTACTTCTGAGAATCAAGCCCCATCCTTCCCTCTCCTCTCCTTCTATTGCTTGCTACTATTGGTGGGCCTTGTATCCAGATCCTTTTGTGTTTAAGGTTTGTGGATGTGTACACTATGTATGTACTTGAAGACGAGTATACAGTGCTTCAAAATACAAGCTCTTCTTTAATAGGTAATTTGTGTATGTCTGTGTTGGAAAGAAATAGCATACAATAACAAAGATGAAGGTGCAATTTAAAGCAGAGTGGTTTTGAAAATCTGTCTTTGAGTAACAAAAACGTATCCTCATTTCAGAACATGATGAGTGTGTCACAAATCAGCACAACTGTGATGAAAATGCTTTATGCTTCAATACTGTCGGAGGACACAACTGCGTTTGCAAGCCAGGCTATACCGGGAATGGAACTACGTGCAAAGGTAAAAGATTTAAGTGCTAGCACCTCTTCCATTAGGGATAATGCAGTCCATCTCTCCCTCCCTCCACCCTTTCTCATCACTGTTACCTGCCTTCTGGGTACATCCCACAGACATTGAGAACTTTGAACTGTAGCTCATGGGCTTCCTCTTGGATTACGTCAGTGTTTAAATGGCCAAACTGTTCAACAGCTCTGATTTAATGCTCCATGACCTCAACCACAGTGGTTTCTACCTCTATTCCTCTCTAGTGGAATCATAGCCATAATCACATCCTGGGCATGTTTGTACAGAACTACTCCACTCTAGAAATCTAAACTTTAGCTTTTTATTATCTAACCCCACATCTTTCTGCTTCCAGTTTGCCCACTCTGTTCTTTCCACAGTTTTGCATCTTTAATCTCTCTGACCTGTCCTTTTCATCCAGATTCCCAGTCTCCTCCCAGGTTCCGATATTTCTTTTTGAGTCCAAACATTACAGCTATATTTTTTTCGGCAGCCCTATCAACACATTTGTTTTACTACCATGATCCACTGTGAATTATCTATGTGGGGTCAGTCTGAGAGCTTTTCTTCTCTGCTCTCTGTCTCTTGAGCTAAGTACTAATTAACTGGGAATTTTAGGTTTCTATGTGTTATCATTTCCCATTTTGCCTGGTTTGTCATTACCAATCAATAATTCTCAGGTTTTAATTTCCATCAGCGGATATTCCGGCTGTAGTCCACCACCATCCATTAATTCACTCTTTTATCCATGCCCTCATTTTCCTTCATCAGATGAGCTTACCTCCCACTTCGCAAGGAAAATGGAGGTTCTATTCTGGAAACTCCGCCAACTTCCCCATAGGATAAAGCCCATATTCCTTACTACGTCATATAGATTTATTTATCATTTGTCTAATTCAGGCATTTTAAGCTTCAAAACTGGTCCATTCCTCAAATGTACTGTGTTCATTATCCTGGAGTTTACCAAAATTAATTTTCTTTGTTACATGTATATGGGAGACAGGAGATAACAAGGAATTGTTACTAATGCCATGTCCTTTGGTCATGACTTTCAGACCTGGTCTACAATCATACAGTGGATGCAGATAGGGATGGGCCAGAGGATTACTCTGTCAAAGTCTATGGAAATCTGTAGTTTAGAGCATTGTAAAGGCCTACGCATTTGGGAGTCTAAATCCCACAAAGATTTCCTCAGAAACTGGACGGATCCTGAGGAAAGCTAGACTTTCAAGTCCATAGATGGTATAAATGCACCCTTAGGACTTCCCCGAAGCATCTGGATGTTCAGAGAGTTAAGATTTCATCTGGGAGCCCAACAGCTTCTCACTCTTATTTGCATTTGACTCTCACTCCTTATTAATGTGAAAAATAAAGTTTATAGCGTAAAGAATTCTTGAAGCCATGAGAAGATGCAGACAGATAATTCTTATCTTTGAAGGAAGGAGAACTTTCCAGCATCTCTAAATTTCTTCTGGAAGTTAGGACTATAGGTTGCCTGAGTAAAGACTCTCCGTTCCTGTGTGTGTCTCTGCTGGGAACGTCAAAAGCTGAGAGAGTAGTTTAGCTGTAGGATCTGAATCATTGAGTCCTGTTCTCTATCAAGAGGCATATTACCTTGCATATTACTCCAGGGAGGATATACACATGGTCTGGTGGGTGTACCCTTTCTTTTCATGAGACTTCAATTCCTAATCTCTTTGCAAGTTCTTGGTGACTAGGTATTGTTTTTGCCTAGGATGAAGACAGATTAAGACCTAGAACCAAAGAAGCCAAATGGCCTCTTTGGGCCCCTTCCTTTAACTCAGTAGCGGAATCTCAGATTTCTACAGTTTCCCACTCTGAGAAAGTACATCCTAACTAATTAGAGGAAGCACATGCCAGAAAACTAGAGCAAAAGCTTTTGCCCCAGGCATGGAACAGGCTGATCGAGTTCATCCACAACAGGCCTTGCCAGGCTGAGGGAACAGCCTTTGCATTACAGAGTCAAAGAATAAGCTAAAGTGGAAACAGAAGTTTCTGAGGATACTTCATCCTGCCCATCTTGTTTTTCTCACCTTTTATTGAGGGCAGCGCATCTCAAAAGGTCACCCTTGCAGTGGCTCAGAGCTTGGCTTCTTTTTCTACTCACAGAAGAACTCCCCTCACTCACACACCCGCTCTAACACAACAGGCTATGCAGTGCCTTTGCCCTTGATCCTGGATCCTGACCTATCCTTGGCAGAGGGATTCAAGACCCTTCTTGAAGACTCCTTTATCAAATTCTCATTATTGGCTAATTCATCACCAGGAATGGTTTAGAACTTTTTGAAGGATGGGGCACTTCTCTAGTATTTTGACAGTTTGGACGGTGTGTAGAATGATCAGAGCTGTATAGGATTCAATTATTTCTTATTTCCGTATCTTATTCTTTAGGTGGTAGTCTCTTCCTTAAGAAGATGCCTAGGATAGCTGCCATTTTTTTTAGATTTAATTTCAAGCTGGATTGCTACAGTGAGGTGCAATACTACTCCTAATTCCTGTTTTGTAAAGCTACTGTTTTTTGTTAAAAGAAAGCTCAGTATTTTCTTTTACAGGTGAAATACTTAACATTGGAAAGAGTACTATTCTACAAATTGTGTTGAAGTTTCTTACCTATATGGAAAGTATTATTTGAATATGAAATTATAATAGCATTTATATCAAAGGCAATAAAGAAAAGCTAGTTTGGAGTATCCTGAACTGCTTCCTTCTAAAGTGCTAAAATTATGTATCTGAATTATTTTAGCGTTTTGCAAAGATGGCTGTAGGAACGGAGGAGCTTGTATTGCCGCTAATGTGTGTGCCTGCCCACAAGGCTTCACCGGGCCCAGCTGTGAAACGGGTAAGAATATCATACCATCTTCCAGAAGATGAATTTTTACACCCATGTATAAAGTAACCCATGAGGAAAATAATGTTTCAAGTGGGCTCTCAAAGCATGGCACTTGCTATTAACACAGAAGCTTAGGAGGCAGGAGGTGGGAAGTTTCAGTGAGGCGTTAGTCACTGGGCGTTTGCCCAAAGTCACTCTAAGGAGGTTTTGCAGCTATTATAACTAGAAGTATATTGAACTTTTTCAGAAAAATATGTTGGATTACCCAGGATTTTATGACTTCATAATTCACTTTACTCATTTGGAGCCCAGTTTTCCTGGAATCTATATGCCCATATTAAAGCATAGAGTCCAAGCATATGGCCACAGCTCACTTCCTGGGGCCCACTACTTCCTGCATCCACATTTGAGAATTTTTAATAAATTTTTACCTGGTCCATTTCATATTTTTTCATTGTTGTCTGTTTACAAAGTGTTTAAAGTTTTCTACCCCTTAATTATTCCTCATCCAAGTCTGTCCTGAACCTACTCTTTCTGATAGATACTAATAGTAGAAACTTTTAAAAATATTTAAAAATATATATGTGTGTAGTCTGTATATAGCTTATGACTGAAAGTAAGATGTTTTGTCCATTGAAAACACACGTTGAGAATTTAAAAAGTGCCTTGAGTATTAACCCCTAATTAAAATCATATCAATAGTAGTTTTGGTTTCTTTGGGTTAAGTGGGTTCTAACAGCAGATGACCTCACAAAGTCTGATTCTTCTCCCTAAGAGAAAGCTGCTGCCACCAGTGATTAGTGGTTACCACCTCCTCTTGCTTTCCATAAATCTCAGTGCAGTAGATGCAGTGAATGTCCTGTCTCCATCCCACCTGCAGTCATCGGGTTTAATAAATACACTGATCAGAACGTGAGACAGAAAATGCTCTGGTTCATTTGAGAAGTGAAAAGTTTACTGAATAAGTACTGCCACTGAGCACAGAAGGATGCTCACAAAAGGATCACTACATCCTTTCTTTCTGCAAGTACCTCTAAGTGGTGCTTTTCAAACTTCGGTGACTAACTGGTTACAAAGGTCTCTAACAGAAAATGCCTAGTGGCTATCTTTGATATGTGGGCCTCTTTCTTAAGCAGATCATTTCCAAAATCAAGAGTTCCAAAACTCATCGTGCATGTGAATCACCCATAGAGCTTGTTAACTTGATAAAAAAATACAGATTTCTGATAATTAACTATCATAGGACTTAGTAAATCAAAATCAGGTACTTCCAGTGCAGTGGTTCTACAATGTTTCTATCTCATGATCTCCAGTAGTACCCACACACGCATCAAGGTACACTAACAAGGTGTACATTCAGACCTATGGTAACTATGTTTCCTGAATACAGTATTTTATGCTGTTTCTGGTACGAAGTCTGGATACTGAAATAGTGGCTTTTTCAGGGAATTTTAGTGGTGTACAATTTTGAAATAAAGGCTGTCCCAGAAAATCTGGGATGAATAATAGTCATGCTCAATCCTGCGTATCATTTCTCCACTAAAAAAAAATTATATGGAGAGATTGTGAAAATGTGGAATGGCATAAGATTAATCTGAGCAATGTAAAATTTAAAACTGGAGTTAAAAGTAACCCAACAGAATATTTAGCTTTCTCTGTGTAGTTATCCTTGATCTTTCAGTCTGTAAGAGGACAAACACAAAAAGCCAAGGGCTTTGAGAAAGATGTATGTTTAAAATCTAGTCTTACTCTTTCCTTGTTATGTGGCCTTGGGCAAGGTGCATAACTTCTGTGTCTTTTACCCTCTGTACATCACCTTACTCTTCACAGGTCTCCTCGAAGATAGGTATTATCTTGGAGGTATTATCCATTTACAAACAAAAATATTGGGTTCATCGTGATTTAATTTTTCTAACATCAGAGAGCTAGCAGCTGAATACTAAGGTCTTTCTACTCCCAAATCCAGGTTTTTATCTATATAATTGCTTTTCAAAGTTTCTTCTGAAGTCACTCTAGTGACAGAGGAGAGAGAATGCCTCCTATCTGGGAAAATGTAATACCAACACTTGCCTTAAGGCATCTGTCCCAATTATTGCTCCAGGTTAGATCCCAATTCCTCACCTCCCAACACGACCATTTTTGTTGATGTAGTTATAAATAGAAGGTGTGCCCTTTAAAAAAATACCTTCAGATGAGAAGAGGCCCATTTGAAACAATTTATTCACCCATTTATTCAACAGATGTTTAATTAGGATCTGTTATATGCTGAGCACAGATCTAGAAACAGGATATAGCAGTGAACAAAACTGAGGCCCTGTCTGCATGGAAATTATAGTGTAGTGGAATGGAGGGACTATAAACAGGAAAATAAATGTCAGGTAACAATAGGTACTGTAGGGCTTCCCTGGTGGCGCAGTGGTTGAGAGTCCGCCTGCCGATGCAGGGGACACGGGGTTGTGTCCCGGTCCGGTAAGACCCCACATGCCGCGGAGCGGCTGAGCCCGTGAGCCATGGCCGCTGAGCCCGCGCGTCCGGAGCCTGTGCTCCGCAACGGGAGAGGCCACAACACTGAGAGGCCCACGTACCGGAAAAAAAGCAGAAAACAATAGGTACTGTAAAGAAAACTAAAGCAGATCGTATAAAATTATTTTATTAACCTCTGGACCTTACATATGATGGGTATTATTATTATTATTGATATTTACTTTATTAATAAAGGTAACTAACCTCAGCTTCTGTATCAAGTCCCAAAATTTCAGTGGTTAATATAAAAGGTGTATTGCTCATTCACATCTCAGTTTGATATGTTGAATGCGGTATTGAGGAGAGAGTTGAGGGGGATTGGGATTGGGGTTCCTCAAACTAGGGCCGCTGGCTATTGCCATTTAGTGAAGAAGCCATGCCCAGTACATGACCTCTAAAACTGCTAGAGAAGAGGACCACAGAGAAAGCACGGAAGATGCACACCCAGTGTTACTGCCTCAGGTCAGAAATGTCCCTTCCCGTCACATACCGTTGGTAAGATCTAACCACAAGGATTCAAGGGGTTAAGAAAGTGTAGCTGAGCTGAATGTCCAGGAAGATGAAACTGGTTTGGTGAGCATCAGGCCAGTCTTTTGCCATATCTGCTGTCTGTCATTGCTAGTGCAATTTACTCAAAGCAATCAAAACATTTAATGCATTTCCCTGATGTCGTCAGGACAGGGAACTCTGAGTTACTTCCTTTTTCGATCACTGCCATATTTATCCTCATCCCCCTGGCAGGGAGTCTCACCTTGGAATTGCTGGACCCCTGTAGGTCTGTGGATGGGCTTTGGGGTCCATGAATTCCCTGAGTATCTGTGCACGTGTACATTTTTCTGCAGGGAGAACCCGGGCTCTTAAAGATTTCATATGTGTTATATATTTCCAAATAGTTAAGAACCTCTAGAGAGAGAATCTTCAATGATTCATAAAGAGAACTAACTGCTATTTCATCCTGTGGCAGGTGATCCAAACCCAAATGTCCAATGTTTCTTTGGGAACCTTAAATCCAGAGACCCCAAACTGAGCTCCTCATTGCCTCCATGTCTCCTGCCTCACGTCCTCTTCCTCTTCTGTTTCCAAAACCCGGTTCTTCACTTCTATTTCCTGTTTCAGTGAGCGGCAGCCGTATCCACCCAGTTTTATCCCTTCGTCCTGCCCTCGCCTCCCCCCCTTCCTCCCCCTCTCCCTCCCTCCCACCAGTACTCAGGGAATCATCCCCTCACACCCCTTCCACATCCAGTCAAGTCCTTTTTGTTCTCGGTACTAGGGTCCCTTTCTTTCAAGTCTGGCTGCAACTACAGTATTTAGGCCTCTCAGGCATCTCTCTCCAGTGCAATCTCCACAGACTGTAAAAGCCCAAATCTGATCATATCACCCCAGACAGAAAAAAAAAGTCAGTACCTCCCATTGCCCTCGGGATAAAGGTCACATGTCTTACCATGACCTTCAAGATTTGACCGCTGCTAATCTACCCAGCTTTCGCTTTCTTGTCCATCTGTCTCCTCTCTTCACTTCCACACCAGGCATGGAGTTCTATGGGGGTAAAGGGTATAACTTGTTCACTTTTGAATCTTTGAGACATAGTACATAAGGCCTATACTTTATTAGGTGCTCCACAAATATTTGTTGAATAAATAAACAAAGGTGTGAATGAGGAAGAAAGAGATGATGTGGTTGCTTCCATATTTGCTGGATATTTTAAAATATTAGTTGAAAGAGGGCTTCAGGGTCATCTGGTCTTATACTTCCACGTGGCAGATGAGGTAATTATGGCACAGAGAGGTGAAGTTACTTGTATATGGTGTTTAATTATAGATACAGATGTGCAATTTAGAACTCATCTTCTGATTCTTATTCCAGTGTTTCCTTTTTCCCCCCTCCTTCCCTCCCTCCCCCCCCTCCTTCCTTCCTCCCTTCCTTCTTTCCTTTCTGCCTATGCCATGGTATATGCTCAGAGGAATTCATCCCACTGTCATCACTCATGAAGTCTGTGTTTTTGTTATGCCCACCCCTTCAGCTACCAGATAATCCTGTTGTCTTTAACAGTGACTTCTGTGGCAGGTTTTCTCTCCCCAGGGAGGGAAAGCATCCGGATTGCCTAGATTGCCCATGTATAGGTATGGCATAAATGTGGCCTGCTGGAGTTGGATACTGCCTGATAGCTTACAGAGGAGATTAATTCCTGGCCCCAGTGGTCATCTGTTGAGCCTTCACAATGGATCTCTGAGGATGACGTAAAAGGATTTACTGATTTTTTGAAAGACAATACTAATGTGCATGACATTTACCAACCCTTGTTACTTTAGTTGAAAAAGTCTCCTCTGAACCCCCTCCCCCAAATTTATTTAGGCTATTTCTGAATCATGTGTATCTTAGTGAAATGGTTGAATCCATTTACCAACGTCACAAAAGGGCTATGTGTATGTTTTTATTGAGTAAAATTAATTTTTCATGGCCTTCTTTTTTAGCTGCTGTGTAAGGTT